TGAAAGAAATAGGTTTTTTAACCGCGATAAGGACACCCCCACCCCTTACCTTGACACGTTTTTTGAAAATATAGTTAAACCCAGGAAAAAATGTAACGAACAAGTGCTCATCAAACATAAAAATCTCATTTAGACAAAAAACTTCAGGTTTCATTAGCTGTATGAGGTCCACAAGTTCAGTGAGGTGAGCTTTGAAACTGTTTATATTTTGACACATAAATCTACTATTCATGATTTGATTACCTGAATGTCACCACCATTTGAGTTGTTTGTGAGAATGCTCGTTGGATTAGGTATAGCAAGGATAACATTTGAATAAGGTTGAGACAATGATGCAGACATTGTTGTCTGCAGTTGTTGGGTTGCGTAAGGGAAAACATTTTGATTACAAATTGGTAATGAATTAAACGTATTCATACATTTTGATAAATCATTCTTTATTTCAATATTTTTGGTCATTTTTATTAATGTAGGGACTAGCTGTTGGACGAATTTATGTACATTACCGTGTACATTACCGATCATTTGATTAAAATAGGCCAACTGTGATTTAAAATTTTCTGTCAGTATCGCAATATCACGTTTTAAGGAATCCACAATTATACCAACAGATGAGACTTGTTTTAAAATCTCTTCATTAATCGATTCGTTTCCATTTAGTTGTGATGATTGAGGTTGAGCGACGGCAGCGTACGATCGACATTGCTGTTGTACCGATGTATCCATTACAAAACTACTGAATTGTTTATTTTTCAGTTCATTAATGTACAATAACCTAACTTTGCATGCGGGATAAGAAGCTCTGTGATTTTCACCACAGTTTGGACAAATCTCGGTACTAGAGATACACTTATCAATTGCATGGGGTCCACTACATTTAGAACATTTTAATTGATTATTACAGTTTTGAGCGTAGTGACCTAATTCTTGGCACTTAAAACAACGAATTATTTTGATAGGTTGGATATAATTGGCTGTTGGAAAAGCGAATGGCGTAACGACTAATTTTCGTTGCGCTAATAAGCGATCACGACATGTTTCCGAAGAAACGTCGAGACGAACTAATGACGTAGGCTTATCAAGGGCGGCGTTTCTAATACGATGGATAGCAGTAACTTCGCTTTCTATTGCTTGAATATCTCTTAATAAATCTTTTTCATCAATAGAACTATCAACAGATTTCAATATTAGACTAAAGCTTTTGCTAATGCCTCGAGGTGAGCGACTCGTATAATTAACATCCGTACCAAATATTTGTTGCGGACAGTTATTCAGTAAAATTTGTTCAGAAGAATTATCAGCTGGGAATAATAGTAATTCTTTTTTATTATTGAACCGGCAGGTTGTATCACACTTATATAGAATATTTAATTCGATTAATTTTTGCTTAATAATATTCATTGGAGGCGCACTGCCAATGAATGAGAAGATAACTGGAGCAAAAGGTTCTCGATCTTGTTGATCCATGTTGTTTCTATGTATTTTTTATGGCGGAGAGGTGGCCAGGAAACTTCTTTTTAGATTATTTGTTATTGACGGCGTTTGAGGTTTTCTTGACCTTTTGTCTGATTGAATTTGCCAGTCACCGTTCATTAAGTCATCACTTTTTTGTTGCTCTGCATTGTTAAGCGAAAACTGATATTGTTGATTGCCACCTGCATTTGTTTGAAAGGAATCACCATTGTTAGAGTAACCATGACTCATCGTCTGCATAACTGATGCAAACGAAGAAGAAGAAAAGACGACTGTGTATATATTCAAAAGACGTCCGTTCGCGAAGTGCACGAAAGTGTCATATTTAGTTAACAAAGCTCTTTCTCTCACCCGCAGTTTAACATATGTTTAAATAGATCATTTCTTTTTTTATCTAAATTTTTCATTATTATATTTCGTAATGTTTGTTTTAATTGTGACAAACGTTCAAATAAATCATAAATAAATATTGTTGATACAGAGCACAATGTTAATGATTGTAAAAAAGTAAATTTTTCGCAAATTAAATAATTTTCATTACTTAAAATATATGATAAATAAGAATTATTATTTTCTGATAATGTAGATCTTACCGATTTTAAGGTTTGAAAGTTAATTATCGACAAACAATATTTATAGTCATCAAATGAAGTAATTAAATCTAAATTTAAATGTACAGAACACTGATAATAAATAATAGAATTTAAACGAGAATTTAAATTATAAAAATATTTATAAAGATAATAAACATCGAAATAAGAAAAATATTGTATTAATAGTTCAACTGGTAGTTCTTCGAAGATCATCTTATTGTCGAACATAAAATTGATTAATCTATATTAATAGTCTACAAACAAAACAAAAACGAGACAAGATCTTTGTATACACTCAAACCGATGAGTACAACAAAATGCCAAAAAAATCTACGAAATACTGATAAATACTTTTGTCTAAAAAATTAGTCTGAACATAGAGATGATTTTCGCACAAATATATGTAAAGAAAAATCAAGATTACGAGATACACAAGTTGCGATGTCAACAGCAATGAACAGGGCTTGGTTTAAGGCACAGTAGGTAATTTTCGCTTAGTCATGTGGATAATTGCTACTAAAAATGATATAAAAACTTGCAAACTGTCTTTTCACAAGTATTCAAATGTTCTCTTTCCAATGATAGAATTTCCGAAGTTCCAGTTTTTCAAGGGCATCTTGAAAATTGTACCAAAGGAAAGAGCATGTAGGAATTATGTTCCAGAAATTACAGAAACAGTGATCATAATACTTTTTTTAAAGAATATCTCCACGTGCTTACCAAAAATTGCGATGAATTGTGTGCCATAAATATGAGGCCCTTTTCGTCCCAACCTAATAAATTTAATATAGTTCGATGCAGATTTCTGCACTAATTCTAAAAATGTTATTAGTTTTCAATAATAGTGTTATTACTCCCAGACAATTCGATTCTAATTCGAAAATATATGATACATTCCAACATCATTTTCCTTAAGTGTAGTTTAACAAAGTTTCAACAAAAATCTAGAGGAAAAAAATAGGAAAGTATATGTTTTGGAAAAAACTCCGATTTTGTTCAAAGATTTGTTATAAAGCAATTTTCTGAACACTTACAACGAAGTTCTGAAGCTATGTTCATGCAATTTATAACGGATATTGTATATAAGGACCGATAATATTAATATATGTTTCACAACTGTGTAAGAATAGTTTCGGGCGTAGTCTCGTTAATGAAATGAATTAGGATAACATTTTATTTCTCTTAGCTAATATATATTTTCCTTTTCCTCTAACAAACGAGAAAAAAAGAAACAGACGATGACGAATTATAATGAGTACACATTCGTGTAAAAATTGAAAGTATCGATACTGATGACTGTATATTCAGACCGTTTTCTCATCTATTTCTCATCATCTTTTTTTTATTTAAATTTTTCATTGTCATATTTCGTAATGGTTATTTTAATTGTGACAAACGTTGAAATAAATCATAAATCAATATTGTTGATATATGGGCATTTTCTGAATGTAAAGTCGTGTCATTTTTGAAACATCGAAACTTCTATATGCCCGATTTCACTTATACAAAGCATACAGTACACTGATTTTAAAAATATACCTAACACCATCTCATCTATTAATTCTACAAAGTATTAATTTCGCCAATAATACTGACACGTCGATTTTGACATTTCTTTGGCAACGTGTACAAAAAAAAGAAAAACATTAGTTGCCCACATAATTTATCAATTGATTATACTCCAAGATAAATTTCAGTGCCATACACCCAAATTCCCTGAACACTATCAGGGAATGTGAATATTCCTTATGGAATGTATACATTCTCTAATTTTCTATATTCCGTGTAACATTTACATTCTGCACGTGTACTGAGCAAATATTAGTAAGAACTGTGTCGTATTCTTTTCCTATCGATCAACTTTAAAACGGTTTGGTTTATACAATGGAATTTTGTTAACCAGTCGGGACAAACAGATAATATGCAGATACCAAAACAAATTCATTGAACAACATTATCAAATATGATTCCAACTTTTTAATTGAAGTAAATTCTGTAACAATCTTCATAACCTTGAGTCTAATTCTTTTTTCGGAATGTCTGAATATTATATTATAGGATCTCAGAATGATGTATGTATATCCGTAAGCTTAATGTAGCTTATTTAAATTAATTGGCAAAAATGAAATAAAACGCTGTTTTTATTTTTATTTTTATTTGATTTAGTCACAAACATATTTCCTTTTTTTTTGCAGTTTATAATTTTTGACTTTCTATCACATAACATTAACAATTATTGTGTAATAGTTTGGAAGGACATTGAATTAGTTTTTTGATTGTAAACTCTTCCTTTTAAATTTTATTAACAGAAATTATTTCAAAAAAAATATTTATTTTGAAATATTTATTTTTGAAATAATTTCTGTTAATAAAATTTAAAAGGAAGAGTTTACAATCGAAAAACTAATTAACAATTATTGTGCTTTAACGAAAAGCACAATTAATTCATAGTAGCCAATTTTTGTTCTACTCTAGCCTAACATCTCGTCCGAGCGAAAAAAAGACGATGATTTTAGTGCGTTCTATGGGTATCATATATTACCTCGTGTTGTAAACGCTATGTATAATTCATTATTATTAAAACAAGCAGCTGGTCGACAACTGTATGTGAGAGTTATGATCCATTTATTAGTGTTATTGAACGTGAGTGTAAATTGTTAGCTCGACATTCAATGATCATGCCTAATTTAGGCTATAAAATGTTACTTAATAGAATAAGATTAAGATTAAATTATGAAAGATTGAAAGTAGAAACAAATTTTTTTTAGCAAGAAGAGAATCATTTATTCATGTTCACGTTTTTGTCTTTCTTAGAAACTATTAAAAGATTTCAGTTTAACGTTGGCTAAAGCACAACCGACTAGTTATGAATTAGTCGAGAAAATAATGACACAAGTAAACGGATTTTCTCTCACGTAGTATAATTATTCATTGTTATAAAATAAATATATTTTATGTACTTTAGGTTCATAATATATTATCTGTTAGTCAAACACGTTTAAACTGGTTATCAGAAGATATAGAAGAATGTCTATACCATCTGAAGAACCTATATCTATTATAACACACTTCCCAAATGAAATATCCAATGTATATTTCTTGTTCCTTCGAAGGTAATGACTTTTTAAGTTCATTTGAAGCAAGATTAACCGTGAGTAATTCAATGAAATGAAAAATGAAAAATTGAATTATCTTGAATTGTAATGTGAAGTGCTACATTCAGTTTTAGACTTTAGATACAAGATGATTTCTGTTGTATGTTGCTTCTGTCTACACTTTAAGATTCCGACCTGGCATCGGATTTCCTGAGAGTCCCAGGATCGATATCTCTCTAGTTCGAAAACCTATATTAGATGAAATAACTCATTTTTCCTCATTTTTGAGTAGACTTAAGAGATTTATAACCCAGTGACGATCCATTCAGATTATGTTCGAGTAGCAAGATGTACTCTATTTTATCTGCTTAGTACGATTATTTACTGAACACTCTTGTAATTCGGAAGCTTTCTAAGAAACCTTTTCAAAACTCAAAGTCTTTTCTGATGACTTGTGAAGCTTTTATTGAAGCACTGCATAGTATTGAGCAGGTAAAATAGAGTATATCTTGTTGTTCTGACATAATTTGGATAGATCTTCACTGGGTTATGAAGTTTTTAATTTTACTCAAAAATAGGAAAAAATGGGTTATCTCAACTAATAATTAAGAGTTCGCTTAGTTCTCAGTTTGTAGAGGACACTTTGCACTATCTGTCCATAGAAAAGAAGTGATAGATTGCTATCTCAGTTTCCAGAGATCTGAGTTGGTTTTCTACAGATCCTGCTGGAAAACCCATGGAAACTCAATGAAAAAAATGTCTGTCATAGTTCGATGTGCCGTGGCCTTGGCTACAAGTCGGCGAAAACGTTTCTCGATATCTCGTCGCATTGCCGAATTATTCGAAGAGGCGGTGGTTAAGTATTTGTGAGTATACATGATTTGCAGAAAGCTAATGGCGGAACAAAGCTGTGGTAACAAACTCTGATCACGTCAGTGCACAAAAGATTGTAGAAGAGTATTTTTACGTTTGCTTTGTGTTGTTTAGATAGTAAAAGAAAGCAGGAATAAAGTAACATTATATGTTCTTGTAGGGTTGATCGGAAATCAAAATCATGTCCAAATAATCATAAAATAAACTGATGATGTTTACACTTGTAATCATTTGGATAGCCGTATTACTTTTTAAGTGCAATCTGTCGGTGTTGAGTATGATTTCGATGCTTCTTTTACTTAGAGGAATAAAGTACCAAAACGGTCATACCGCCTTCGACTCTAGATACCGAGTGATCAAAAACAAATGTTTTTCTCTATGCTCAACTGGTTACTAATATTAAGAATAATTTATTTACCACTTTGCACAGTTGTTCATTGCCTACTTTTTGTACCAGATTTTACCCTATCTCTGGCTTAGATTTTAGGAGTTCGAAGACGTGAATACTTCGACACACCGCCACAAAAGTAAAATAAAAAAAATCGATGATATTTTTGAGCCTCGATGAGTTCGATAAATATCCACAAATATTTGCTTTACAGACTCAGCTTGAAAGTAACTTGAAAATACCAGGAGCAGGTTTCGTTTAAAATTGCTAAAACATATATTGTACAGAAAAAATGGTCGTTACAGTTTTGTGCTATCGTTATAATTTTGAATATTGACATGAACAAATAGTGTTGAGTAAGTGGGATCGTCGTCTGTTTTACGAAGATGAATATGACGATAACCTAAAAAACGACAACGATGAAAGAATAATAATATCATTCTATAGATAAGTTTTACCGATTTGCATGGTTGTTAGTGGCAAACAAAATGAAGACAAAATATCATCTGAACCAACTACGTCACTATCCAAAACAACAAACCGAACGAGACATAGTTCGGGAACACTGATGTTAAATATCATTGTCTCATCCCAGATAGGGTTTAAACCTAGAAAAAATAAATTGAAAAATCTACATCATATACGATATTAATTTGTTTTATTAACCATTATCTTTGATCGTGCGTGTTTTTCTCTCATAACAATCATTGTCGACGCCATACGTACTAACACGAACATACGGATCAATAATATCCTTATTCTGCTTGTCTCTTGTTAAGAACTGGCCACTGATTATGCGAATTGTTAATCGTTGTTCAGTAATGATACTTGATACAAATGGATTAAAAGTCGAATCAGCTAAGATTAGGAAAAAAAAATGGACTTTCACGATGTGTTCAAGTGGAGTTTTGCATACGATTCGTAAGAATATCTGGTTTCAACACATAACCACAGCCACCATTATCAAGAAATCGTCCATAATTCAACGCCATAAATACGTCACAGCTCTGATAATTCATTGCCGCTTGAAATAAAAATGACTATCTCATGTCAAACGAAAATTTTCAGGAAGATTATTAACCAATTTATATTTTACCCATTTGAATTCCTAGATTCCACATATTTAGAGGATTCATATTGCTTGAATCTTGTCTAGTTCCTTTTGGATATGTTCTCAAAACAGACGATTGCGTTTGTTCAAGAAAATCTATTGGATTTAACTTTGTTAGTTTGTGAAAGGCGTGTTCTGATAATTGAGATGATTGACAACATGAATCTATGAGAAGAGAATTAGCACAGATATATAAGATGAACTGGTGTACTTACAATTTCTTTTTGCGTAAGCATAATCGCGATACGGAACATTTTGCAAATATATAAGTAATTGAGAAAATTCATAGTCAACTCTCTAAATATTTACCATTTGACAAAGAATATATCATGAATTCTGACAAAATCATACTTACTTCGCTCGCGGAAATGAATAGTTCATTTTGCTCATCTTGAGGTGGTAACGTTTTTGTAACCGGTGTTGTCTGAACTACTTTTGGACTCTAAATAATTGAGCACGATGTGCAAAATCAAAATAGAGATATTAATACGTACTCTTATCAAAACTTTGTATTTGAGATCATCGGGTGAAGGTAAAATAAATGGAGTATCTGTTTGCAAAGGTTTATCTAGAAGATAATCTAGGAAAAAAACAAATTTTTTTAGATGGGACAAATGCTCTGTATAACACTCTGAAAAAATAATTGTCTTTCTATTTCGTTCGCTTTATTTTACACGATTGTTCTTGCAAAACGTTCTTCAGTCTTACTTCTATATATGACGGAAAAGTCACTAATCTCTTTTGTTTTGTGTTTACCAGTTGCACACAAAAAACAATAATCTCTACGAAAAAACTTATAAGTTTACGCTGATTTCTTGTTTTAATTTCCATATAGTATACCTTACTCTAGAAGAAGATGCTACTTCCGTCATGTGTCTTTTATGCGTCTTTAAAATGATATGGGCGTATCCAATACGTCTTAAATGTGTCTACCGGTAGGCACATAAAGTCACATCGAAATCATATGGAAGATATCTGAACATGGTACGAGAGAGATGTTTAGTAATCACATTTTTTAATTTTTTGATGAATGTTTTGTTAGAAAAATTGTATCCAATATTCTTTGCAGTTGTGAATCTATCTTCAGATCTAAGGTTATAGGGATTGTGAGACTGAACTACTTCCACTATGTTTCGGCAGAATTATTAACTTCTAGAAGAAGCAAAGAATTATGGATGAGAAGCTCAATGGAATTTCAGAGAAAGTAGCAAAGACTGTTAACTTGAGTGAGTAAGACAAGAAATTGACGAAACACAAAAAAAAGTAAAATTCATGTGTTCTAACGACGTTTGCATGTCTGTACTTGAATTTTTTAATCGAAGTCTCTGAGAACAGGTCAAAGTAAGAGGATAGTAAAACGAAGAATTATGTCTGGTGTTGTGTTGTTCAGTAGTAAATGGGTTCGTCTGATGAACGAATACACTAGGGTCACACTACAGCCTTAATCATGATTAAGCTAATCGTGATTAGTTAATCGCGATTAATTCGTAGTGTGACCGCGACCTTAATCACGATTAATTCGCTAATCGTGATTAACTTTATGCATGATTAAAAGATGAATAGCGTAATCACGATCAGTGTTAATCGCGATTAGATGTAGTGTGACTGTTCTAATCATCATTAAATGTCTGGTTACTTATCAAATTTGGAAAACAAAATGAAGGAAATAGTTTAATTAAATATAGTTTAGTTAATTTTTTCTTGAAAGTATCATCGTCGAATTTTTGAATCTCGATTTCAAAAAAACTCTTTGTTTCTCTGACGTTGACAAACAGATTGTTCAGCTTTTGTGAAACAATTCACCAGCGGAAGAAATAATAGTAGCATATCAGCGCTGGACATATGTTCTTTTCTGTTTTTTCTTTTTGCCGTAAATACTTTCCTTTGTTTAATAACGTTTAGTAAAGTAACAGTGTTCATTGTTCACTTGACTGACAGAAAACTTAGCTGATTTTAGAACACTTTCCGTATTTATTTGCTGTTCCTAATCATGATTAGCCTTCAATCATGATTAGCACGGTCACATTGTTTATTTAACCGTGATTAAAATACTGTTAATCATGATTAACAAAGGATGTGGTCACACTACAAAATCGTTAATCATGATTAACTTTAAGCATGATTAATTTTAATCATGATTAAGGCTGTAGTGTGACCCTAGTGATAGTCGAATTCAACTATCGACAGAAACGAAAATGTTTTTTCATATGTGTTTTCAGAAGATGCAGACTGCAATAGAACCGCTAAAAACCAACTAAATAGGATTCGACCTATATCAATATTTTTTACCCTTTTATCTAGATGCTCTACATGAAACACTGAGTTAACTAGCTTCATTGCTCGAGTGTATAGCTTAATACATTCACATACATCAAATTAAACCCGATGCAATGTTAATTCGTGGGCAATGTTATCTAGTTGCATCGAGAGAAACATTTATCTGCATCTGGATACCTCAACCACCGAAATGCGTTGGAGGATGCTGTTTCCGTGCTTGGATTTAATATGTAAGACTTTTTGATCCGTCTTATGTTAAGAAGAATCAAGCCAACTTATACCGTCTTATTTTAAGATAAATTCTTTTTTAGAATGAATCAACACAAATACGAGCTGATCAAAACAAAAAAATAATCAGCGAATTTCTATTTGTGAGGAAAACATATTTACTTTTGAATTTATTTGTCTAATTAATAAAATGTCTAAGATTTCTAATTTCGCAATCTGTTCAGCGTGTGATGTTTGTGACTTTCTGTAGTAGACGCATCAAGACAGCTCTGTTGAAGGCGTATCGAAGACACTTGACGGCATCTCTATTTTGAAAAATGTTTCTTAATTCTTCATGTTTACTGAGCTTCTTTCTTTCTTATCAAAGTTTGGACTTTTGTTCTTGAGATAGTACATAGGGGAGATTCCTAAGTGTTACATCGATTTTCTAGATTCAAGATCTAACCAACAGGTCTTCACCGAGTTATCATTTTTTATTTTTATCAATCACCCTTATGTAAGCTGGATAAAAGGCTGAAATCTTTATAACTCGGTGAAGGCCTCTTGGTTAGATCGTAGAACTTTTTCATATAGGGAACTTGACATAATCTACAATGTGGCACTATCAGAATTTGTTGAGACGAAAGTTCGTGATTGATCTAAAGGGATCCCTTATTCGAACAGAAATATTAAAAGGTCCTATGAGAACGAATGGAAACCAAATTCGTGCTCAACATCAAAAGTTATCAGATATGTTTCAAGGAAAAATCGATGTAATACTTAGGTACCTTTTTTCGTCAGATTAGTACTACAATGTACAATGTCCTCTTTACATTTAAACGCACGCCACTGCTTAGGATAACTGATACCGTTGATCAGGTAAAGAATGTAAATGTAGAAGCTGATGTAATTAGTGCCAGAAGATATAAGAACATTGTTCGGTTATACTTCTATGTGTCTTTGAGATGTCTTTCATCTAAAAATGGATAGATAGGATGAAGGCATATATATGACAATTTTTTTTGGAAGACGTGGCATTTTTCGTGGTAAACTTCTGTTAGAGGACGATTTCTTTTTAGAGGGTACATCTTGAACACATCAGGAACCTTTTTTTTATACAGTACATGAACATGACACAACTCTTAAGCGAACGATGTATCGCCCACGAATGTGGGTGAAGCACATTTAAAGTAATTCTTAGCATGGCTCAAGTTTAAAAGTTGACACGTAGGTGAGAGAGTGAGAATGAATGCGATAATTAGTCTCATTAGGTCAGTCTAACTTGTATTCGCGAAAATGTGGGTTCGGGAAGAGTCGGAGTATCATGTATGAGTAAAGGCCAAATAAACTCAGAGTATGATAACCTGGCATCATATATAGAGTAGAAAAGGTGCACATGGTTGAAAGACAGAAAGGAGAAGAACAGATCAAAATAAAACATTTGTATTTTGCGTATAATTACTACCTCCTAATATTTCTTTTAGAATGCGTGCCATTTCTTTTTGTTGATCAGGTGTGCAATGATTTTCAATGTCGAGAACAACTGGATACCTATGGACGAAGAAAATAAAAGATGAATAATGATCATTTCTATTAGAATAAAGACTTACGGTGATACAGTGAATAAATGTGGCTGGATTGCGCGAATTATTGTCTCAAACGGACAAGATTTGATAAAAGTAAAACCATGGTAAACACGAGGTTGTCCATCTGGTCCATCGTAACAGTCAACTAGAAAATGACGACAATTCATGAAGCTTTCTATCCCGAAAAAAGAATGGGTTCAGATGTTTCTTGAGTAATGTTTGACAGAAAAGCGGTAGATGCTTGTAGTCTCCACCAATTGGAAATCGAGATCTGACTGCAACTTTCCATTACTAAAGTCATTTTTAAAATTATTTTCCAAAGTAGATTTCTCAGAGGATCTTTGAAAAACTATGTCATAGCTCAAAAGCTTGAAATATAAATAATTTCATTTTTTGTCATGAATAGATAGTCTAAAGTGTTCTCTTCAAAATGGTAGTTAGCGACACTTTCGTCTTCATTTAGGCCTGGCATCGGCTTTCCTTGGAGCTCCAAGACTGGTCATTTTTCACATGTTAGAACCTCCGAAACGATTCTAGACGGGGGTTATCGACGACGCTGAATCTTATAACAACGTTTGTTTTAGGATATATTCGAAGATCTGCTGGAAACTGAGTTTTACAAAAACTGAGATTTCAAGATTGTTTCCACCTAATATTAAAACATTTACAATTCTCTCAAAAACAATGGGAGAGGGTCCAAACTTCAGAATGTAGGGTATTTGTGCTATTCCCTATCGTAGTTATAAGAAAACTACAAAAAGAGCGTTACAAAGCTCGATGGTTTTACGAAGGGATCTCTGAAAACGTTTGAGCAAAAATATGGTTTTCGACTTTTCGATGATATAATCAGCTTTACCAGACAAATTTAGCCATATACTGAAGTTTTAAGCTCCTCCTGTTGTTCTTTGAGTGAATTGTAAATGTTTTAATATTAGGTGGAAACAATCTTGAAATCTCAGTTTTTGTAAAACTCAGTTTCCAGCAGATCTTCGAATATATCCTAA